TTTAGACTGTTTAGGGGCAGAAAACAATATATTTTTGTACAAATTTTGTATAGGATTTAAAATACGTTCTCCTGTTGATGCAATTCTTTTATATTAACTTATTTGTTTTTCCATGTAGCATAAAGTAATAAAATGTTTTGTGTAGAAGTCATTTTATTTTTTCTTGAAACCTATATGTTCCATATTGGGGACATATTCCGTACTAGGTACAAAAATACAATTTTCTATAGAATAGTTTTCTGTGAATCCTATATAATAGATTTAATATTATGAATGATAAATTATAGTTTTCAAAGATGTAAAGATCTACACAAAAAAAAATAAATTTAATATGTTCAAAAACAAAACGGTATTCCATATTTGGCTTACTTTCTCTATATAAATACTGATTTAAACTGCTTGTTTTATTCAGTTTATTTTCAGTTTATATTATTGGGTATTATTAAATTGGATATTAATTAAATTAATTTTGATTTTATTATCAATTTTATTTATTTAAAATCACCTATTATGGCACGAACAATAAATTGAAAAATATACTGAATATAGACTTGCATATACATACCTAAGCAGTAGAAAAGCGAAAGTAAAACTAAAACTATTTTGTAATGAGTGATGATTGATGTCCAGTAAACAAACATTTCTTATTTCATAAATCGCCTACGTCGGGATTTTACGAGTTTGTCATTTGCGGCATTGTACTCTTCGGAGTGCCTAATGTGTCGGCGGTTTACGAATATGCAGCCCGGCCCATTACATATACGCACCTACAGTTTCTATCTCAAACAAGAAAATACTAATTGTTGCCAAACCTAATGTTTAACCATTGCAGCTTTGAATGTACTTTGAACAGTTTAGTTTTTACAATAGATAAATATATTAAAGTTTAAATACTATAATCTGGTAGTAGTTGAATACTTGCTTTTCTAATGACAAAACCTGGCATGGTAGGATCTCATAATATTTGTACATTAGGAAGAGTATGTGCTAAATGAAGTATTATTTAAACACTGCTTACCAAATTTCTAAAAGGATAATTTTATAATCTGAAATCATACAAGGTGACCATTAGAATAATGATAACTACACCTTTTTAAAATTTGAAGGTTAAAATACATTATGTATTTCTATTTATAATACACTAACACATTTCTGCAGATTTCATCTACTTCTGAAATTAATTTCAATGACTAATCCATTCTCATCCAATAGGGGCGCACTCCAAATATATTCATACATTAAGTATATCCCAAATTGAGCGAACATTCATCATGGATGTCAGAAGGAAAGTCATTTAAAATACCAGTGAAATGATTTTTGCTGCCAATCTAATGTAATTTATGTTTATATGGACAGATTATAATAGATTCAGAGACTTTTTATGTCACATGATTTGACAAAAACCATAAAAATGGAACGTTTGATATAAATTAACCTATATTACTTAATATTATACATAGTAAAATGTGTTAGTTTCCATGGTCAAGCAGGATTTAAAAAGAAAGTGAACTGCATATCGTTGTTGTATTCACTTTATTGTTTGTAAGTATGCAACCAACTGTGCTGTATGCATTGCTATATGTATTATGTCAATATTCCATACCAAAATGTATTTATAATATCTGACAATATGATCTATGTAGGAATTCTTATGTGTACTTATTAGCATTTTATAGTATCCTGTAAAATTAACTGTATGTGACATAGTTCGTATTACAATATCGATACTATTTTTATATGGGCCCTCACAAAGGACTTAATATGTGTATTTGTGTATAATTATGTTATGCTGTCATTTACTATTTATTTATTACTTTCCCATGCTACGTTTCTAACTTTGTTTTGGTTTATTTTTTAAATACCTACAATAGGTACAGCTTCCTATAATAAAAATCACACGATATATTGGTAAAATATTTTTTTTTATAAATGTATGACTATATAAACAGTAAATAGGTAGGTACATATCTCTAATAAAAGCTTTTTTCTATACCAACATTGATATTAGTTATTCTACGCAGACTACAAAAAGAAACAGTAGGCCATTGCGTTCACTGAGCGAATACTTAACAAATATATTTCACATTCATTATACCTAGTAAGAACACCAATCAGAGTTCATATTTGGCCACCAGGCTTTTTTTATTTTTTATAAGTAACAATTCTGTCAATCTAATTGTAAATTATGAGTATATTTTAGTTATTAAGATTAAATATAATTGAAAATGAGTTATTCTTGTGAAGAATCAATAAATAATATCATTTTACAAAATATTAGTCTATATTTACAAAAAAATGATAAATTTTAATAAAACTATGTGAAATCAATTTAATTATGAATATTAAAACTAAAAAGTTAGGTGTCTGTATAGAACTGAGGGTAGTGTACTGAGTTGCCAAGCAAAAGATCCAGGATTCAATTCTAGAATTAAAAACTAACTAATAAAAATCAATCAGTTTGTTTTATTTTATAAATAAGGTAGGTATAAATTATTTTATCCTAATGAGTTAAATTAGTTTTTAAAATTTGTAAATTTCGTTACTGGGTCGTAGAAAAAATATACTATACAACTCGAGTGGATTGTCTATCTAAAATAGCCGCCATTAAAAAATAGGAACAGTTTAAAAATAACTTTAAAATAGATGACTACCTTACTCAAAATAACAATCCCACTAAGTATGCATTTTTTTATTATTCATTAAGAAAAAAAGTTTTAACTTATCAATACAATGTTTTCCCGAAAAAGTTTTGTTTAACTTTAAGGTATAATCTGAAAACGTTTTTCTCTAGGTATTACCTAATAACTTTTATCCTTAGCTATTCATTCAAAAAAAACACATGCCTAATCTATTTTTGTCTCTGAAGATGACCATGCTTAAATATCCGAAACTTGCCGGCATTTAAAGTAACTAGCTTAATACGTCACACTAAACCAATTCCTAAACATATAGACGTAACTTACTCAAAATAACACCACCACTAAGTATAAAAATATTAATGAATGTACATACCTTATTTATATTTTTAAATAAACATATTAAACGACATACTTATACTTAAATTGAACGAAAAATATAAAATAATGTGCTTGAAAAAGTAATAAGTTCACAAAATGGCGTCCACAACACATAAATTTATGAAACATCTTCTTTTTTGTAACGTGTTCATTATCCCGAAATGTATTTTATTGGTACGAATGTTAAGTCGAAATAATGTGTTCTATGTTTCCTACAGTTCCCATTTCGTGATATCGTGATGCTTTGCTTCTGTTGTTTCATGTCAAATTTGCCAGCTGATCCGTATCAACAAACCCAAAAAATATCGTTATCTCACAGAATCTACGGGCTATCTCTACGTATATTTTTATATTATAATCATATTCTAAAAGTCTATAATGGTATAAAAATTATTTACGGAAGAGTTAATAATTTTAATGTTTCACAAAAAAACCTAGGTCGTCGAACACGTAAGAGGTTATGTATACATTACCAATTTCGTTTATTTAAGATACCGATTTAATTTTTCAACTTAACCATACCTATTCATAAGAGAACATCAGATGTGCAAATAAAATAAAGTTACTTTTGGTTTTACATTGTTATAATAAGTCAATAACAACCATTTTTTCGCATTTTTTAATATTCAAGTCACTTAATTCCACACTTTTAACGGACATTTAGACATGGCCATAACACAATTTAGAAAATGTCAAATATATTTTGTACACAACACGATACAAAATCCATTACTATTAACCAGAAAACTAATAAATATATTTTACATAAAAATATCCAATAAATAATTTAGCTTCTAATTGTAATTAGTTTGTCTAAATTGTTGAAAATAGAAGATACATTTACATATTAGGTAGGCACATCTAGGTAGATACCTAACTATAATTTTATTTAATAAGTAACCAACGAAATCAAATAAATAGTTTACCTAAACAAACATTTTTGATTTTGCCTCATAACCTAAAAATTATTTTATAAATCATTCAAAATCCAAAGGTATTTTTATTTGTGCAATTCTACCAAGCTTTCTACCTATAAGCCAAAATATATACAGAATAGATTTAAACGCTCAATATATACGTTTATATACCTACATATAACTCGTAAGATGACATATGGTACCTACCTATGTGTACAACTACAGGTATTTCTGACTGAAGATGATCGGCCTTTAATATGAAGAAACTTAGGACAGAAAAATATGTACAGAAAAGGCATACTTACATGTTATTTTATTTTTTTAATAATTATCACCACAATACTTTAGTAGTTTTTATAATAAATAAGACTTCAAAAACGTAATTATTACACACATATTTATAAGGTATAAAAACAATGTGCTAAAGCCAAGATGGCGGTAACGTTTTCTCATATTTCGTTTCTCAAACATACGTAATACATCCACTGTTACCAACAATAATAATAAAGTAACTAAATTGATACGGCCATCTTGAATAGTATTTAATATTTATCTTTTATTTCCTCAATTAAACAAAAATATTTGAGATGAAGTCAAAAAAATATATGCACATTAAAAATATAACATGAAATCATTATTTAAATTAAATTTTAATACAAAATAACGAATATGGAAGAATACGTTTGACAGTATATCCGCCATGTTAATAAATAAACACAAATTTGGTACCAAATTAAAAATATTTTTTAGAAGTATTAACTAATTCAATAAATTAATGGGAGTTTAAATAAAATATCTCGTTGAATCACGCACAAACATGTGCAATGATTTCGTGATTAGTGAATGTATGTAGGTATGTATGTATAGTTTGTTCCACCATTATTATTGGTACTATTATGTATTTGTATATTTAGTTAGAAATAAAGATTTTTTTAGTTTAAAGCCGCAGCAATTTATATAAATATATTTAACAATAATTATTTGGTGATATTTGTTTTTCGCTGTTGGTGTAACAGAATATTCATCCCGTTTGACATGTAATTATAATTTAAAACATTGTACTTACTACTTATGTAGATCTGTTTCTCATTCACTGGATTTCGCAATACGCAGAAAATATTAACACATATACATATTTTATAAATCCATTATAATGTAATTTGGAAATTTTCATGCCAAAAATGGGGAGCAAGTTTGTACACAGTTTGTACTTCTAACTTCAAAATCCACAATGGCGGATCGAATGTTCCGGATGTTCCGGTATAAAAACAAAAAATAATGTAGTTTATAAATCTAATAACTACATACCCAGGGAATAGTTTAACAAATTTTGATATGCATTGATATTATTTATTGAACTGGATATGCAAATAAAGGTAAATTATATTTAGTGCGCACGTGTTGATAAAACAGTTTTATAATCACATTTTTGACAGATGTCAGAAGTCATATTTCTCTGTCATGCACATGTCATGTTTGATTTTTCGTTTAGATTTTAGAATAAAAATGAAATAAATGCAATTTTAACAAACATTACCTTGAAAAAATGTTAGATTAAATATACTGAAAATTGTTCTGATTAAAACAAACAGGGTAAGTTCATCTAAAATTAAAAACCAACCTTTCAAACTACTTGAAAATAAAATAACGTATAAGAGCACAGAGCATTGGGGTTTTGTTATGGAAATAACATTTATTGTATTGCAATAAAGAAATAAATAATCTATGTTCTAATTTATGAAATGGTTCTCATTTTATAATATAATTTTTATTAATTAAATAATCATAATTCTCTTTCAAGAAATTGAAGTTTGCTTACTACTATTAGTTAATATACCCATTAAATAATTATTATTTAATGCAAACATGCTCAATGATTATAAAATACATACTGTTAGGTTCGTTTATAGTGTTGATAAAGATGCCAAATAGAGAAAATGAATTTAACCCTCTGTTCCTACAGTTATTTTTTTTACATGCAAGACACACTTGGGACATAGGCCACCCCAAGCTTATTTATACACAAAAGTGGAACTTAAAAAGCAAAACTATTTTTTGATGGGGTCTTTTAGGTGCCTATAAACATATGTAAATTTAAAACCAAACAAATGATGAACAGAAGCCATATATTATAAACATAGACATCATATTATTTAAGATAGACTCACCCTTCACAGTGTTTAACCAATACACCTTTTGTCCGCATTATATACCAGGCAGGGAAAGGGTTATCATGTGTCACACATTAAAGTAGTGTTTCGGGAGAGTTCATTTAGATTTTATTAAAATTATTTATTTATCAAATCTTAATAGAGTATACACGTTCAATAGGTCTTCTGAATCAAAGGTAAATTTTCAATATATACAGGGTATTCAAAAAACTTTTCTATATATTTTCTTATAGATTAAAATTGCAGCTAAAATTGAAGAAATAGTTCTGTTAGTATTTGAAACAATAACAGAAAACTACCAGACTAATCCATTCAATCATAATTAAGCTCTTATTTATTGCAATCATTCAGATTGTGTTTTATATTATGCAGACAAGGCTATCACATCGGCTGCCTTATTAGAAAGAAGTAGAGGATAGCTAATTTGAGTGGGGATGGTTTGTGTTAGTTTGTTTAGCTGAGGAGCAGTCATGCATTGTATGAATGAATTAGTAGTTATTTCTATGATGCTTGCTTTGGACTGCTGTCATGGGAAAAATACATTACACTGATAATAACTGACATTAAGAATGCAAATATATTTCCTTAATGTAATTTTGAAAGCCTATTGTGCATTTTAAGTCTTATATTAAGTCAATACCGAATTATAACCACGAACAATCCTTGTAACACAACTCTCACCTACTCTTATTTATTTGACAACTACGTAGATAACACAGTGGATGTTTGCAATTTAATTTTTGTAAACAAAATTAGTCTAGTAGTTGTTTGTCACTGATTTGAAAGTGCTATATCGATTTTGTTATTCTAGTATCATTGTTAAAAAATACATGATTAGAAAATAAAAATATAAAGCTATTTATTATTTTTTCATCTGTATTGTCACAACTACCTTTCTTTATTAAATAAAAAAAAACTTATTAGAAACAATAAAACAACTTTATTTCAGACAAATATAAAAATAGAGGCTTACCAAAACATACCCTTTGGATTGCATGGCATGACACCTACTTTTGGAGTTGTCTGTATAACGACTCTCTTTTCAGATAGTAATCAGCGACAATTTTATACATGTCTTTACAATGTTAAATAAATCAAGCCTTATTCCCTATATATGCCTCCATCTATGCTTACATAACATTCTTATTACAAATATTTTGGCACACTGCACATTTCCCTACCATCCTAAATGTCCTTATGTTCAATATCCACATAGGAGACACATGTAAAAGATGATAAATAAAAATCTTAAATGATTATTAAAGAGAATAGTACATTTTTTATTAAAAATTTAATGCAGTATATTTGATGAGATATGACAATGTAGGAAGAATGTACTGTCAGAAAGATGTTGGGGACAAAATTAATAAAAACAAGGTGTATCTATTCTATCCGATATCTTTGGTTATTAAGTTATTCCAGGTATGGACTTCACTTCATCAAAACATTTGTCGATTAAATGTATTTTTCTTTGTGTATATTGGTAAACATAGCTCGGAATTATATGTATAACTGATTAGGGGTAAAGACAAACCATTGTAGGTATCTACATAAAAAATTAAAACGATTTTTTATTTTAAATTTTTTGAATTATCCGATCGATTATGGCTTAACTTTCATTAGCTGAAATAAGTTATGCATAAACTTAACAACAATTGTGATGGCAATGAGTAAACAAAAAACCAAATCCCATGGATATGAAATGCGTAGTCGCCAAGTTATTCGCTCCGTGCGTGACAGCAGCGCCAATTCATTTATGTACTAATGGACTATTTTATGTATACTGACAATACATTTTTTAATATAATTCGTAATTAAAAAGTATATATGTCAGTTTTAATAAAAGTATATGGATTTGTAAAACAAGTGAAACGTTAATTTATTATATATTTGTATCGCTTAAACTAAAAAACTAAGTATAATCAATAAAAATCAATAATAAAATATAGACAGGCAACAGTATTTACGGGAAAATGTATGAGATGTTGCCCAAGTCTAAGAAGTTGTCTTTAAAGAATTAACCTATTCTGTAAAAATAAAAAAATACCATTAAATAATAGCGTGAAGTTAAAATGTATAAACAAAAGGATTGTTATTTATATTTTATTAATTTTTGTTCGAAAGAAAACAGAATGAATGATTAAAACTTGTTTCCTATCAGTAAGTCACAAAATTGCATTCCAGCCACATACAATTAGGCAATCCAAGTCACGTGACTTTAAATGGTGGACCCTTGGCAAAAACAACAAAAGTATGTGCCTCCTTGACACCTCTAGTGATGTTATTAGTCTGTTTGTATTATTTTTTTGAGTTTTTATTCCATGTGTTTAATTTAAAAACGCCATAATTTAATATTTATTTTGAATATATGAATAATAATTTTAAAAGGGGGGGCTGGCTCAGTGGTAGAGTCTCTGCCTGCGGATCCAAGGGTCCCAGGTTTGAATCCCACCATTGGCCGGGATTTTTTTATTTAATTTAATTATTTAAAATTAATTCTGATGCCTTGGTAAGATTCCCCACTCGACCATTCACTGTTGGGTTCTAATTAACAGTGCTGTTCCTAAAGTGGCGCTGGGAAACAGTAACAATGCCTACACAGAACACGAGGCGAAATAACCTTAGTAGCTGAAGCCGATGACACACACAAAAAAAAATAGTGAAATACTAATGAAAAAATCAAGTTAAGATTACTTTGTTGTTTTTGCCAAGTATCGGCCGTTTTTGCACATTCTGGCAGGATGTTGGATTGTCTAATAATCAAAGGCAGAAATCTAGTTTTTGCTGAACATTTAAGATTAAAGGGATGTTGAAGAACATTGTAAAATGATAATTTATTGTTTATTTAAAACCTTTAAGTTTCTGATGTCTACTGCTATTTCCAGTATTACTGTTGATATTACAAAAATAAAGGTAATTTTTCTTCTTACTGTACAGCTATCCATTTATTTCTTTGATTTAATTTCCACTTTACTACTGAAATTTTTTTATAATTTACACTGTTTTTTTTTTGCTAAAATTTTTACAATTTACAACACAGCAACTCCGGTTGCTTATTGTATTGTTTATACCTATTTTTTTTTGAAGAAAAGTAATATGTATGGATGTAGTTGATATGTCAAAATTACAATATATCGCCCTAAAATGCATGAGTTATCCACAGCTAGCGCTAGTATCGCTTTTGCTTCCCCTACCATGACTTCGCACTGAGTGAATAGATGATTACGGTTTTTGTTTAATTTCATTTAGCTGAAATCAATTATGCAAAAACTGTTACATTGGCCTTGCTTGTAATGGTAACAACTAAACAAAAACCCAATCGCGTAGTAAGGAAATGTGTAGTTGTCAAGTTATAGATAATTTTATTTACACTTTAGTTTAGCCGAAATCAGGTATGAAAAACTGTTGCGATGGAAACACTTGTCTTGGTAATGACTAAAAAACCCAAATGCATGGTTGCCAAATTATTGAAAATTTAATTTAACTTTAGTTTAGCTGAAATTAGTTATAGGAAAATTGTTATCATAGGACAAGGCAACAGTTTCTATGTACCTGACTTCAGCTAAACGAAAGTTGACCCAACAGAATAAACAGATACTAAATAACGAACCCTAGATTATAATTTTTTTAATCCATTTGGAAAACTTAGGTAACTTTCTCCATGAAGTATTAAATATGTATCTGCGCCTTCGGGTACTGACGTCATCGTTTATCAAACGGAGAGTTGTTACTGTAACCTACCTCACCCAGGTACCTTCATAATTCATTAATTTTATTTAATAAAGAAAAGTTGCATTCTTATTAAATTTAAAATCCTTCATGTACTGAAAAATCTTTTAGACAATTAAATCTTATCTATGATACCTAATAAAGAAAAGCAATATTTCTGTTCGCAGGGTCTCTAATATTACATGTACAAACCAAATAACCAGACAAGGTAAAAAGTTATCCCATGAGAATTCGACACAAAAACCTCCATAAAAGATATTTGTTTTAACGAAGTAATAATCATTAAAACAATTCGACATGATATCGACACAAAATTCCGAGAATTTCTCAAGGCATGTCATAAATTCACCCCTTTTTATCCACCCAAATTCGTTCCTACCGGAGTTACGACAAATTGACGTCACAAAAAGACAAATACCCGTTCACGATTCTTTTAGAATTCAGTCATATTTCAAGTTCGGTATTCGGTACCTTTCCTAAATCGACGCCTTTCCTAACCGACGCATATCCTACCTACCTCTTTCCTGAACGCTTTCACGTTCCGACGCTGAACGTCCCGCCGCCCTACCTTTCTAAGTCGACGTTCTTCGTCCCGTCGACCTTTCTCCCAAACGTTGTCGCGTCCCGACACTCAACGTACCGCCTACCTTTCTACGGCCCTACCTTTCTACGTCCCGGCGTTCTCTACCCGACGACCTATCTCCCGGACACTTCTTTCACATTCCGTCGATCAACGTCCCACCAACCTACTTCACGACGCTTGCCGTCCGTAAACCTACCTAAATATTGCCTTCACAATACCTCTTCGTCGCGCAGCACCTCCTTAGTATTTCCTATC